TGTGTGTGTGTGTGTGTGTGTGTGTGTGTGTGTGTGTGTGTGTGTGTGGTTAGGTTGGGGTTACGAGGGGCTTGGCAGATGGGGACTGTGAGTCACTTAAAATTGCTTCATTTCAGCCATAATTGACTGATTAAAATCTTAACATAAAATGAATAAGTAAATAAAATAATTACATCAGGGAAAGTTTTTAAAAAAAGCTGCCTCGCCCCGGTTGTTAAATACAGAAATCAAACGATGGTTTAAGGTTTGATATTTAGCTGGGAATTCTCAGGTTGGGGTGTAGGGATTTAGTTACCAAGACCTTTTCTAGCACTGACCTTGTCAGGTCCACTAGACCTCATGGGGACCAAAGCCCGATCCGAATGAGGCAAACGTAATTTCTGAGGTCGTGGTTACGGTTAGAGGTAAGCTGTGAATTGTAGTTATTTGGGCATCAATTGGTCACATGGTTAAGGTTGGGGGTAAGGTCTTGGTTTGGTTATCCATAATGAATGGAAGTCAATGCAGTGTCCTTACGAGGAAAGCTACACAAATGAGCTTTAAACCCCCTCTTCTTCCTCAGCCTGTTCTCCTGCCCGCTGATTCTGGCTTTGAGGTTGTTTCTAGAATGAGGAAGACACTATCTCCCATCACACACACACATTAACACGAGAAGACAGGCACATTTGCTGTCACTCTCCCTCCTTCCTTACATACACCGAACCTACGCATACATCCCCCACACGTCCACAGTAATACATCATGCACCTTGTTTCATTTCGGATGCGTGCTCGCATCTTTGCCCTTTGGCGGGAGCTTTCACTCGGTTGCTTTGTTGTGTCTGAGAGCGTGTGGGAACATACGCTCTTCAAGCTGTGGGTGGTGGGTGGAGAGCAAATGTGAATAGAGATTTTTGACACACTGGCTTAAAAATATCTTGAGAATTCAATGACGGCTCGCGAAAGGGGTGCTGAGCTTTTTCAATCTAAGATATTACCGATCAGTCCTCACACGCAGGCATCTTTCACAGATAATACATAGAAACATTCAGGGGAAGATTAGGACAGTTTGGGGAATAAGATGTTTGCGTTCCTGCTGAGACTTAGATGAGGATATTGACACTAACTCTCAGTTTAATATGAAGCTACATCCAGGAGCTGGTTGATGTAGCTGGCAAAAAGGGTGAAAATGTAGAGAGCCTGGCTTTGAAAACAGAATCAGACTTTAAATATCAGAGAAATAAGTCCATTAAACCTCAATAAGATTTTATTCCCTTTTTGGAGTAACAGTTTTAATACAGGTGGTAAATTATAGAATATGTTTTTTGTTTTATTTAAGAAAAACAAGCTAGTTTTCCCCCACTGTTTGTCATAGAGATATGACAGTAATATGAAATATCTCAGCTAACTTTAATGTTAGAAGAAGCTAATAGTTATTCTCTTTCTTGCAGGGAATTTAAATGTTTGAAAAATGTGTTCCTTTGGACAGAGCAAAGCTCTAGCTGGTTTGCAGACAAACGGCAAACTGTTTAGATTATTTATATTCCTATCACACCTGATCCCTTTTCTTAGTCTTTTGTTATCATGCAAATATTAGACAGAGGTCTCAACACTTTTTCCACATTCGAACTTCAAGTCATGAACACACCAAAGTTGAACATCGACTTCACAACTCAGGAAAGGGACGTTCTGAGGAGCATGTGAATGCACAGTAACACCTGACTGAGCATATTGACTCTGTATGTATCTGGCTTTCTATAGTCATGGCTGGTATCTTCCTCCTCCTCTTCCCTTTGTGCTTTGCTTCTCCTTTCAGCTGAGCCCTGACTTCTGAATGATAATGACGGGTCTCTTATACGATGGTAACACATTCCTCTGTCTCAGGTATCTCAAGCCCGACGTTCACAAGAAATCCAAGCACAAAACGGCCGTCATAAAAAAGACTCTCAACCCAGAGTTTAATGAGGTAGCTTTCTATGTTTGTGCATGTGTATGACTGTGGGAGCAAGAAGCACAATTGTTATAGTTGAATGTAAAGAGACAGCTCATTTACACTTAAAGTATAGAGTCCTCAGAGACACTGTGCAGCATACAAAGTTTCTGTAACAGCTAGTTCAAGAGGACAGCCAATTACAGTTTGCAATATTATTATCCGCTGCCTCATTAGTGAGTGTTTTAGAGGTTTGGAGAAGAAGAGCAATGTGTAGGTGGGTTCTCCTGACCTCGGTTTTGACCCTCTGACGTCCCCTTTCCCCTCTTTGCCTTCACCCAGGAGTTCTTCTATGAAATCTCCTTCTCAGAGTTGGCTACCAAGACGCTGGAGGTCACGGTGTGGGACTACGATCTGGGAAAGTCCAACGACTTCATCGGTGAGTTGACACCAAGCACGACAGCAGTGGATCACTTCCTGCTGCTGATTTTTTAAACACTGATCAGCTGGCTGGCTCCTAACATCGCAGATGTTGAGGATATTTTAAGATGTCCGCTATTACTAACTATCATCTGAGTGCAGCCCTTTGGGTAATTTGCAGGGTTTAGTCGCCAAAAGAGTGTTTGGCTGAAAATGAGCTTCGTGCTAAACTCGGTCTATGAGTGGGAGTGAGTTATTTCTAGGATTTTCGTCAACCAGAGAAAATCTGTGGTCAACTTAAATCAAATTTACTCTTCAAGCAATTGATTAAGGGGGAAAACACTGAGTGTGCTCAACCTGTTAGCCTTATTTAAAACAAATTACTGTAATAACAAAAAAATAAATAGAAATTACAAGGCCAAAGATCCACACCAAAAGGTGTTAGCATAGTCGTACTAACAGACAATCACATAAACAAAAACACAAACTAATTGACAAACTTGGACAAAAGCCTAACCTCCTTGGCAGAGATAAACATATTCATAAACATTTTCCATCCTTTCTTACATTTTCTTTTACTTGCTACTCTTTTATTTTTTTTTGTTTTTTTTTAATGAAACACATTTATTGTGTGTTTAAGTTGACTGGTTTTATTTCCTTGTCAGGGGGTGTGTCCTTAGGGTGTCACTCGCAGGGAGAGACTCTGCAACACTGGATAGACTGTCTGAAAAACAAGGGCAAGAAGGTGGAGCGCTGGCACACGCTGACCAACGAGCTGCCTGGATCCACACTGCAGGAATGAACTGAGCCTCCCGCACCGCCCTGACACCGGAGAGACGACTTGAAGACGAGACAGACGTTTCATCGCATGCTCTGAGGACTTTCTGCATGACTGTGACGGATTCATATCCTACTTTCTTTGTGTCATAAAATGAGTTCATAATTCACAACAACATCATCCCAAAGGGGTCTCATTCAGAGATCAATACTCAAATCATGGATCTAAATAGACCTGATTCAAATCTGGGAAACCATCCCTGCCACAAAGCTCAGAGAGTGAGAATTTTCATAATCATATTCATAGGGATCCATGTCCCTTCTGTGCATTTTGTGTTCATCTAAATGCTCCTGCACATTGCGCCAAGCTGGTCAGATTTCAATCACAGAGAAAATTGAAATCATGAAAGCAAAACGAGACAGAAAGTTGAATCATTCCGCGGTTCGACTCTGGTGTCCTCCCTTGTGTCAGGTTCGCTTACTCTTCTAAAACTTGGCCTGTTATTCTCATCAACTGCTGACGTTTAAACGGCTCCATCGTGGCCCATCTTGTATCACGGCACACATACCTCTCCCTTGCAATAATGTTTTGCCTAATGCTTCCGAAGATTTCCAAGTGGTCTTAATACTGTTTTGTATCTATGGATCTGATTGGCGTTGGATTGCCTGCACACAGCACAATCTAATGAGATAATTGGTTCTTCCATGTTGATGGTTTGTGTCGAGTATGTTTGCATGTTTGGTGTCAACGGAACAAACTAAAAGACAAATATGTGCCGGACTCTGCTGCAGGACGAAGTGTTCATCATCGTGTTGATTCCAATCCTGCTGAGGTGTGTGGCTCTGATTAACTAAAGACAATGTTGGTTCCACTCACAGTTGTTTGATGTGTTTCTTATTGATGACAAGCTGATGTTAACCTATTTTTGCTCCATGGTCTTTTATTGATGAGGAAGAGGACGGTGGTGTAAGAGCAGACTGTTGTGCATGCTCGTTGTACTCTGACTGTCTGATAACTCTCCATCGCTGCTGCTGTACTCTGGTTTACAGGTTTTATTTGTACACACTCTCGTGGTTAATGAGGCATGCTGAAGATACCAGTGGTGTTCATATGTAAATATATAATGTGACGTCTGGATGTTTGTCCTGTGGAACATAAAGTGTGTGCATGGTTCCTTTTCTTTTTCATAAAAACATTCTTATTGATTTATTTCGTGAATCCCTGAGTTTCTGTTCTATTTCTTCATGGTTTCTCAGTGTCTTCTTTGAATCTTTAATGTTTATGCAAAGCTCAGAAGTGGCCCAGTAAAGACAACACTGCCACCTAGTCTCCAGGATCTGTAACTGACGCTTCTCTGACTAATGTGAGCAGAATGGATACAGAGGGTTATCCCCCAAAAAACACGAGGGGTGTAATTTGATGTGATTTGATCACATAGTTTTGAAATTTGATTCATTAATTTAGGACATTTTTGTGTTTTACATTTAAAATAATCTTTCTGAAATAATGATTGAGTTTTCCTATATCAAACGTAAGCAGTGGTATTAAAAACTGGATAATTGTGGAGGTTCGATGCAAAACTGCAAATGATCATATTTAAATTGTTATTAAATTTCAAATCAAATCATAAATCAATTTGCTCACAACAGATTATTTAAAATGACACCAAAGATAAAAAGGGTTTGGTTTGAGTTTTAATGAGTTTTACAAAGAGCACAGGCACATAGGGACCACGATTATTACAAAGTACTAATTGATTACCTTGTATAAACCAGGACGGTTGGTTAATAAGCCCCTCCCAAGAGTTAGGGTTAGGGTTAGGATGACTTTTGGGTTTGGTTGCAATGAAAACCCATTGGAGCTCAAGATATTCTTGAATAACTTTTTTTCTGAAAGTCATAGAGACTTGGGCATTT